GGGCCCACCCACCTCTCCTGGTCATTCTTGACCCCCAAGCGCCGCAGGTGCCCAGCAGCTTTGTCCACGCAGACGGTGTGGTGCCGGGCCTTGGCGAACAGGTGGCTGAACCGGCCCCTGTGCTTGCCAGTGGACACTGGGGTGGAAAGCCAGGGCCCGCTCAGGGCTCTGTGGCCCCAGGGGCCGTCACGGCCACGCCCCTCTCCCTGGGGTGGGAGCAGCCCAACGAGCCTGGGGGCCGGTGTCGGCATCTCCCTGCCTGGAGACCCCCGCCCACCAGAGCCCACCCTGGCTGCCCAGGCACCTGGACGGGCTAGGACAGAGGTGAGAGGCAGCCACCCTGCACCCAAGCCAGGCGACAAAGGCCCGGCCCCCCCGGCCCCGCCCCAGCGCCCCCCCACATCTGGCCCAAGCCCGCCACCCTGCTCAGAACACGCCCGTACATCATCTTCAGCCTGGCGAGGGAGCGGGAGCACACCTGGCCGGACAGAACTCTGGTGCCCCCAGGTTGGCCAGGCCCCCCTGGGACAAAAGGCGGGGCTGATGCAGGAGGGCCCTGGGCAGCCCCGCAGGCTCGGGGACCTGTCCTTGGCCCACAGACAGGGGCATGCGTGGTGCGGTGCTCCCCACAGGGTCCAAGGAGGGAGCCCACTGGACCTGGAGTGTGGCCCTGCCTGGACGGTGACGCAGGGGTCACCTCCAGGCGAAGGCGGCCGGGTGGTCCCACCCGGCCCCACCAGGATGGTGTCCTGGGCGCAAGGACCCCGGCGGGAGAAGCGGGGGGAGGGGCGGCCGCCAGCCGAACTGCCTCGCGCCGGCTCCCAGCAGAGCCAGCCTGGCCACGCCTGTGTGCCGGACCTCGCCGCCCAGAGCCAGAACCGAGCCCTCCGCCCTGCTGGCTAACACGCTGGGGACCTGCCTGCGCATGGGGGGAGTGGGGCACGGCGCTGACCTTTGGCCTCGTTCTCGCTGTCCAGCACGATCTGGAAGGTGTCTGGGGCCAAAGCCAGGCCGGCATTCACCAGCAGGGCCCGCTTCTTCCGCACGCTGTCCTTGGGCATTGCCTTCTTGGCCTG